CATGATAAGGTATAGTGTCACGTATGTTAAAGTGACTATTCAAGTAAATGACATGATAAGGTATAGTGTCACGTATGTTAAAGTGACTATTTCAAGTGAATGATATAAGGTATAGTGTCACGTATTTTAAAGTGACTATTTCAAGTAAATGATATAAGGTATAGTGTCACGTATTTAAAGTGACTATTTCAAGTAAATGACATAATAAAGTATAGTGTCACGTATGTTAAAGTGACTATTTCAAGTGAATGACATAATAAGGTATAGTGTCACGTATGTTAAAGTGACTATTTCAAGTGAATGACATAATAAGGTATAGTGTCACGTATGTTAAAGTGACTATTTCAAGTGAATGACATAATAAGGTATAGTTTTCACGTATTTTAACGATTCAACGGATTTTATTTTTTTCAGAATCGCTGACATGACCTCAGTTCACGGGCTTTTATCTTCTGGCCTTGATGGACTGGTTGTTTCCAGTAATCTCAGTTTGTCGGGTCCAAATGGACTAATGGGTCGGACTTTAGTGCTGAAGGACAAGGACAATGGAAGAGTCGTCTGTGCACCGATCCAACCCACTACCCGGGTTTTAACTTTCCAGGCTCTGTTGCATACTCCAGTTGCAGGTGAGGTGGCTTTCCGACAGAGCGAACAGGATACGGGCCTTTTCTCCAGATTGTATTATGTTGACAACACCAGACGAGACACGCTTCACAAGTGGACAGTGGTTCCTGGAGGAGAATCCGACACACTACAGGACTTTTACGATAATGAGATAAGTCGCTGTGCCAATCTTAAAACACGAGCTTCTTTGATTGAAGGATCCCATCTTTTGAGTGTGGGAAAGGAACCCACTGATGTACACTCAATTTCTTATTTCCTTCTTCAGAACCTGTTGCTTCTACATACCCAACATCGTGGTTTATATTTCGTTCTGTATTCTGCTGAAGACGTATCAAAGATAATAGCGTGTGCTCCACTTTCTCTCGTTGAGCCGAAGGTAGCGAAAGCAGAGTTCCAAGAAGATGGTCTAGGGGAGGTTGTTTTCCAACAAGACTCTCCTTATGATCCTACCATACTAACAGTGAATCTTAAAAACCTTCAACAGAGGGCGTATAGCTACGGGATCAACAACTTACCAATGGTCGTGCGCTGGGATAACGCCCACATACAGTGCAGGGATATCAAGGGTGACATCTACAATCCGTTCCGTCTAGATCCAGAAGAAGTTCCAGAACCAGGCAAAGGGACCGTGGATCAATACGCGGTAGGGGATCTGAGTGGTAAGCACGGAACTTTACACAACAGGAAGGAGATATTACTACACGAGCGGGACTCTTCTCTGACACTCTTCGGTATAAGAAGCATCATTGGGAGAGCGTTAGCTATCTTCTATCCAGATGGAAAACCTCTGGCTTGTGTCAATATCGAACTAACCGGGAAATCCATCACGACTGCATACACTACTTTTGACTACCCCATCCAAGGTCAGCTAATCTTCAAACAAGATGCTTCTAACCCTCTAAGCGACACCTCAATTTACGTTGAACTCTCTCACCCATCGGGATCCCAGGGGAGAAAGACATTCAACCATCTCTGGCACGTTCATATCTACTCTATCAAACCCGACCAACATTACAGTAGTACTAGTTGCGCTGTCGCGGGGACCCACTACAATCCTTTCAACGTCAGCAATACTGGAATATATGCATGCCACTGCTCGGGACGAGGTCCTTCTAGGTGCGAGATGGGGGACTCTTCTGGAAAATTTGGGCCTCTCGATATCCCCGTGTACAGTTACCGACAAGATGGGACAGTAGAAATTGCACGTTATTTTTTTACCGATCCCTACCTTTCACTGTCAGGACCGAATACCATTGTCGGAAGATCGGTCGTCGTACATTTACCCGACTTTAGCACTTCAAGAATGGCTTGTTCGAACATTGTGGAACACCAAAAATAGATTTAAGTCCTTAAAGATCTGTTCATCTAGTGTTATCTCTCTCTCTTAACGTTGAACTTTTATTTTACACGGAAAACTGAGAATGTGTGTTACTGAGGAAAATAAGAAACCGTTGAAACCTGATGTATGTTACTGAGGAAGATAAGAAACCGTTTAAACCTGATGTATGTTATTCAGTTTAATAAGAAACCACTTAGAACAAACCGTTTACATCTGATAAATGTTACTCAGTTTAATAAGAAACTTGGAACAAACCGTTAAATTTATTGTTTGTAACTCAGCTTAATAAGAAACCACTTAGAACAGACCGGTTAAATCTGATATATGTACCTCTGCTTAATAAGAAACCACTTGGAACAAACCTGTTAAATCTGATATATGTAACTCTGCTTAATAAGAAACCACTTAGAACAAGAACAAACCGTTTAAACCTGATATATGTTCCTATTTAATAAGAAACCACTTAGAACAAACCGTTTAAATCTGATAAATGTTACTCAGTTTAATAAGAAACCTCTTAGAACAAACCGTTTAAATCTGATAAATGTCACTCAGTTTAATAAGAAACCACTTACAACAAACCATTTAAACTTGATGTATGTCACTCAGCTTAATAAAAAACCACTTAGAACAAACCGTTTAAACCTGATGTATGTTCCTGTTTAATAAGAAACCACTTAGAACAAACCGTTTAAACTTGATGTTTGCCATTCATATTAATAAGAAACCACTTACAACAAACCGTTTAAACTTTATGTATGTCACTCAGCTTAATAAGAAACCACTTAGAACAAACCGTTTAAACCTGATGTACGTTCCTGTTTAATAAGAAACCACTTAGAACAAACCGTTTAAACTTGATGTATGTAACTCTGCTTAATACGAAACCACTTAGAACAAACCTGTTAAGTCTGATATATGTAACTCAGCTTAATAAGAAACCACTTAGAACAAACCGTTTAAACCTGATATATGTAACTCTGCTTAATAAGAAACCACTTAGAACAAACCTGTTAAGTCTGATATATGTAACTCAGCTTAATAAGAAACCACTTGGAACAAACCGTTAAATTTATTGTTTGTAACTCAGCTTAATCTTGGAACAAACCGTTAAATTTATTGTTTGTAACTCAGCTTAATAAGAAACCACTTAGAACAGACCGGTTAAATCTGATATATGTACCTCTGCTTAATAAGAAACCACTTGGAACAAACCTGTTAAATCTGATATATGTAACTCTGCTTAATAAGAAACCACTTAGAACAAACCGGTTAAATCTGATATATGTACTCTGCTTAATAAGAAACCACTTGGAACAAACCTGTTAAATCTGATATATGTAACTCTGCTTAATAAGAAACCACTTAGAACAAACCGGATAAATCTGATATATGTAATTCTGCTTAATAAGAAACCACGTAGAACAAACCGTTTAAACCTGATATATGTAACTCTGCTTAATAAGAAACCACTTACAACAAACCGTTTAAATCTGATATATGTAACTCTGCTTAATAAGAAACCACTTACAACAAACCGTTTAAATCTGATATATGTAATTCTGCTTAATAAGAAACCACGTAGAACAAACCGTTTAAACCTGATATATGTAACTCTGCTTAATAAGAAACCACTTAGAACAAACCGTTAAATTTATTGTTTGTAACTCAGCTTAATAAGAAACCACGTAGAACAAACCGTTTAAACTTGATGTATGTAACTCTGCTTAATACGAAACCACGTAGAACAAACCGTTTAAACTTGATGTATGTAACTCTGCTTAATACGAAACCACTTAGAACAAACC